GCTGAGTTYGTTTATGTATTTCGTAGGCACTGGAGAAATTCTGTAATCTGTAACAAAGATTATTATTTTATAGTTTTTAATTAGTCCAAGTATTTTAGATAATCTATTTATTTGGATGTTCGTGACTATTTTTATCTGCATAAACCTGCTGACTGCCACCAGAACGGACAGGCTAGATACAGATACATATATCATATTCATATTCCATTGCAACATGTATTGTATTCCTGTATTCCTATGGTTTTTACTGTTTTTAGGTAGGTCTCCCAAGTCTTAAATTATAATTTAATAAGTTAAATATATTTTTTGAGTAAACATGATATTTATATTATATTATTTTGAATTTTTATCACAATGAATACACTTCTTTTTTCAGTATTTTTATTGCATATTTAAACGCTTTTATAAATAATTGTTATTATCTTGGGACCTATATTTTTTTAAATATAGCCCTGTTTATTACTTTTAGAAAAATATAAAAATATAAAATTGTGTAATAAAAATTAAATTATCCATGTACTTAATGAACTACCTATACTTATTAGTAATTAATTAAGAATTTAATTTGTATGAGCTTATACTATTATAGCGTTCAATAGCCTCGAGTCTGCATACACATTTTATGTTGATATGCTGTTTAATACGATTTAATACGAGAGTTAAATTCGAATATTAATTTTGTTCAACCTTGTACTCGCAAAAAAATATGAATAAATACTATTTAAAGTACTTACAAATTCATATTGTTAACACCACACATTAGAATCAATAAATTAATGTCAGTCATGCGTATTTAGGGGATAAAATACAGCAGTTTATCAAACTGAAAAAAATCGATGGTGAATAGGTACGACCCATGCGAATACAGCCAATTGCTATCATCTTAGTCATCGATATAAAAGTTAAAATTGCTTTTTAAGAACTTACTGATCTGAAGACTGAATTAAATTAATTAACTGATAATTTATATTATGCTTAGTAATTCTATAACATTTTTTTTTTATTATCCACTTAATATTGTATTATACGGCACTTGTTGAAATCCAAAACCGAAATAATTGTATAATTTATTTTTTATAATTTAGTGCGTGTATTGTCGAGTTTATAAAAGTGGTAAAGTTTATAATTGCTTAAAGTGCATTGTAGGTAGTAGATACATCAATGCAATCGGATACGTTTACGACTTTACGTAAACATTGTAGTTCTTATCCACTTAATTATTTTTCTGTTCATAATTTCCCTACATTGCGAAATGTACTTTATACACATAATTTGGAAGTTTTTTTTTACATTACGGAAAATTCTCACCATGGTGAGCAATCTGACATCACCACCAGCAGCAGCAGCAGCAAAAATAACAACAATAATAATAATCACTGTTCACTTGACCGTGGCAGTAGGAATGAACCTTAGTCGTCATTCTGTTCCACCGAATGCACGTGCCTTTAGTGTTTATACGCGTGCACACGTTATTATTATCAACGTCGCGGTCATCCGACTGAGCAAATATACTTAATACAGATGGCAATAATTATAACGATTAACATATTATTATTTTTCATTCTCTCCACGGTGTACKTATAGATATTTCCCACAAAGTGCAGAGTCTTTTAGTGCATAACAGAGTGTGTACTTAAGCTGAATTACGGCGTCTACTACCTCCGTTTGGCTGTATGCCCTTCACAATACTACAGTCAATTACTTTAATTTTTACGATTAAAAACCTCAACTGCCACAGTTAGTGCTCTTTGAAGCAGCGTGACCATTGAAAAATGTTTTGAAAATCGTCACCTCATTTCCACAATATCTCACTGTTGAATCCCAGACGTAAGTCCGATTAGAAAAAAAGTCTGTACACATTTTTCTATTTTCGGACAATAAGTCCAATAATGGAATTAATTTAATTTACAAGATAAAAATATTATTTTATGTTCTGATTGGTGAATAATAATATTTATTACCTATAGCTTATTCAATTATAATCTTAATTTGTATCAGAAAATTAAATACCTTTACGTATTTTAAAATAGTAATTCTGTGAATAAAATAATTTGTAATTTTAGACTTTTAGACTTCTACTACTCCTAGTTCAACCCATATATTATTAATTATTATAGTTAAATTAATGTCTTCTAGTAAATGTGTTGATATATTTGTTCCAAGTTCCAACATTTACTGTCGAGATTATTATATTGAGAGAAAAAACTTATCATGACGGAAAACTATGCAATAACAACAATGATATAAGAAAAAAACCAATCTTATTTTTCATTTTTGTCTTTCGTTCTGGTTGTTATCTAGACCGCAGATCTTCGCGGTTTTCTGATTCTACGGCCTTCRCGGGCTGTGATTCTGTTTTTTACTCACATCATATACGTCGTCATCTGTTCCGCTTGCCGAACGCACAGATTGCCCAGCGAACGAATAATGTAATATGCGCACAACCGTTTCCGTCGTCAACGTCATGTATACGTAAAATGTAAAACATTAGCACGTAACTGCGAGTCGAATTTCCGTCAAAAGCTTTCGATTTTTTTCCCTCTGTCGACGTTGTTTTATGTCGGTTATGACGACAACAACGTCAGATTTCTACTTTCTGTCGCTTCGCTCAACACCATAAACGCTATCGACCACGTAAAAATGTTTTATTTTTATTTTAACAAGCGCATTACTACTTACAGCTTTTCATTCTTTGCTCACACACAATACACAATCGTCGTCGTCGTTGTCGTTAACCGGTTTCAGTTCTTCGAATTCTTCTTCGCCACTGCAGTGCCGCACGCCATCACTAAGCACATATTATTATTATTATTACTATTATTATTATTACCTCTACAACTGCTGCATCGCGCGCGGGACTCAATATTACAGTATACACAATATGATACAAAATAATAGCGTTTCGTTCCCGTGGCGTTTGAGATCGATTTTTTTTTACAATAGGCCGCCGACGACGTCGTATTATTTTATCATTATTATTGTGTGTGAGTTTATATTGTGTGTCTTGAATATTATTATAATATGTACGTTCAGAGATAGATAGAGATATTTACACTCGATAAACCGGTCCAAAAACATTGTCTTCTCCTTGCAGTCGTAATTGAGCCGAGTCGCAGAAATTTAAACGGTGTTTTCGCTCATCCAAAACCCTAATATCGACCGTCTTTCGACGTTTGAGTGCTCTGTGACGACGACGCCGCCGCTGCCACTGAGGTCATGCTTATGTACGTCGATGGTTCCGGTAATTAGCGCGAAATATATTCCATTCGCTGCCGGTGCACTGGTGTGTGGAGAGSTGCGTTGAGCGTTCGATGAATATTCATTTGGTTTTAACGTCGAATAATTAACATCTGTCCCAGTACCTACAAAACGTCCGGTGCGCGAAAACCGTGAACGAGATAAACGAGTAGGTATACGCGAATTTTATATCAATTTTATGTTCGCTCCTTAGCTCCACCGACATCACCGGCAGCGTTGGTCGTTTCTCGAGTTGTTATATATACAGTCCACACACTCGTAAATGCGACTTTTCCGATAGATTTATCATCGGAATGTGCTTGTTTCTATTTATTTTTTATGTAAATGCGTGTGTGCGTGTCGTGCGCGAGGTCTCTCGAGAATTTCTGTTGGGTTAGGTCGTGGGGGGAAGAAAAAAATGTGCATCTCGCCAGACGTTTAAAAACAACGCACACACAAAAGCAATTAATCTCTTGGGATTTATATTTTTTTTCCTTCTAACCATAAAACAATAAGGCAGAAATGCTGTGGTTGTGTGTGCGCGCGCGCGCGCGATATCTATTCGTTTCTATTTCTATATAATATAATACTATGTTATAACTTAAACTTATTAGTTATTACTATTGCGAGAGAGCGTCCGTCGTGTCGGCGACTGTTGCGAAACGCGGACGGCCTTGAACATCGTCGTCGTCGAATGATTTTTCTTTAGAATAATGATAATAATAAAAAAAAACTTGTCTATTATATATTATTATTATTATTATTATTACTCATCCGGTCGCGTTTGACGACGCCTTGTATAGGCGTTAAAGTGTCCGTTTTCAGATTTCGGTCGAACAAGAAAAATAGCAATAATATATTGTAAGCTCCAAAGGTAAATATAAATGTACTTCGTAGTACCAAAATATTAAGTATCTTGATAGAATCAAACAATTTCTCGTTAATGTAACTCGAAGTAGTAGGTATTTTAATATTTTAACTTGACGTTTAATAATAAAAAAAATAACTTTTATTATTAGTTACAATCATGGTAAAACGAAAACAAAGTGTGCGATTTTTTAATTTCGGTTTACAGCTAAATACGAAACGGTCGCACTTTATACAGGTGATAGTTATATTAGTATATTCAAGACCCCCCGTATGCAAGCAACCCCCAGACCTTTTCGTCGACGGCAGTTCTCTGCTGCGGGTAACTTGGGCCCTCGTCGCTGTGCAGGTAGCAGTCATCATTCTGATAAAGTGATAAATAATATTATTACGATGGACACCGTTTGAATACACAATGCGCAGTGACAAAATAATTACGACACGATACTATCCGATTCGAAGGGCATTAACCCCGCATGACTCAATGCTGCACACACGGTGTTATTATTATGTTATTATATTATTGTATACAATATATATATATATATATATATTATTAAAATATAATGTAGGTATTCGAAAAGATTTTTGGAGGGAAAAGATTTGTATATATAATAATAATGTATAGATATATTTCGTTCTCGATCACAAGGTCACTGGGTTCGTCCACTCCACGACGGTGTCAGTTGTTCCCAAACAGGTTTTCGGGTTCTGTTTACTTCCTCATCTCCCACACCCCGGCCTCACTCCAACACTCTCCCGAGACGAAAGTAAAACATAATAATATTATATAGGTACAAATTATACTTTACTATGATTATGCGTTATACTGATATAATATGTAATAATGGTTACGTTTTTGTTTAAACCGTTATTTTTTCTCCTTCCATGTGCAGTCAAAGAAGAGTTGTCACCGCCGAACAGCCTGTCGGGAGTCAGCAGCCATTCGGATGGGTTGAAGAAGAAGAAACTCAACCACCCACCCACGACCGGCGTCGTCAACACCGCGGCATCGGGCCCCGGGGGTGGCGTTGGTGGCAACGTGCTGAACAACCGACCTCCCGAAGAGCTTTGCCTGGTATGTGGCGATCGGTCGTCCGGTTACCATTACAACGCGCTCACATGCGAAGGGTGCAAAGGGTTCTTCCGGAGGAGTATCACCAAGAACGCCGTGTACCAGTGCAAGTACGGCAACAACTGCGAAATCGACATGTACATGAGGCGGAAGTGCCAGGAATGCCGGTTGAAAAAATGCCTAACCGTGGGCATGAGGCCTGAATGTAAGTGTTACACAATTCGTATGTTTATAATAAAATAGAAAATTGATTACTAACGAAAAAATAGAATACGTTGGGTTTTCCCGAACTGCAAGTGTATGACTTAATACACTCTAAGTGTATAATATAAGTACCTACACTAATATTAGACGTATGTAGATTACAATTTAAAAATAAGTTTAGCCCCCCGGATTCCACAGGAAATGCGCAAATTGAGTCCGCAATTTTACGGGCTAAAGACCACCATATCATTTGGCAGGTTTAGGCACTAGATTTAAATTTGTACCCATATTATCAGAATCAGAATTTATATGATATTGTAATACCTAATAAGAATAATGTGACTGAAGGCTCTTGTAGCCTGTATATTTTAATTCTAAAATTTGATCAGGCAGCATAATCTTGTTTACGTTTACCGAAGTGGCTCATATTTTGGAGAACTTTTTAAAAAAGCAAAATAGTACGGCCTACGCCGTCCACGCCTTAGTCGCATATAAATAGTTGTTATATATAATACATCATACACGTATATATTATTATACCTTAATGTAATAATTGTGCAAATTGTTTTAGATAATGTGTGAGCTTAACGTATGGCCAAAAACAGTCAAAGTTAATTATTGTTTGCATGTAATTTTCCACGTGTTTTTTGAATTTACAATACAAAACAATTGTTGGTTATGATGATGGCCATTTGGTTTTCATAAAAGATGTAACTGATATGATATGTTAAATATTTAATAAATCTAATTGTTTTGCTTGATTACTATGCGTGTGACATGTGTGGATTGTGTATGTATTTTATACTAACTATATTTGAATTATACAGTATTAGTGTAAAATATTGACCTATGTTATCAAACTTTGACTTAAGATCTTACGTTGGCTCCTATCATGTTCTAATTTTAATGTAAAATGTTAGAATTTTAAAATAGTTTGCTTTCATAATCATATTGAAAAATCGTAAAAAACCAAACGTCAGAACAAAATATAATAAGACTAAGTTTGTTCTGCTGAATTATTTTCAGCACAAAAGTTATTCAGTAAAAAAAATTATACACCGCAATCCGAAAGCCGGCATATTGACAATCTATTTATAATCATATTGTTTTACTAGAATCAATAATAAACAACGAATATTTGAATTCAAAATTAATAATAACACATTAATACTATAAAAATACAATTGTCCTTCTTGATGGCCATTGTGTTTCTTGAAATTGTTTTTTTATTATATTTTATGTTTTGAAAATGTGTTAAGAATGGTTGGACGGAGGTGTGACAAACTAAACAGCCGAGAATAAATACTTAAAATAAATTTTGAATTCAATAATTTTACAAATGTAATTTAATAAAATATATTGTTATTATTAATTGCTACGTAAATAATAGGTATATAATCAAGTATACATTATCTCGTTAAATATGGTACCTATATGTACCTATATAGGTATTAGTTATAGTGCAACTTCACAGTCGACTAACCATAACATAACATAACTCATAATAACACGAAGTCATGGACATTTAACCATAAAACATGTTATAACTTTCATGCAAACTCGTATATACAGTATACTAGTATACATATTAATTAGTATTGTATAGCCGCAATTAGTTATTAAAAGAAATAATGAATGGATCATTTTATAAGTTTTAATTGTGTGTATAATACAAACATTTTTGAGTGGGGCCAAGAAACGACTAATATTAACATAAAACCACAAATTTATCTATATTATACGATTAATGACTTTCATTTTCAGACCATATTTTTAAGGGCATTGAAAATATTTAAAAAGCTTTGAGAATGGAACACTGGTATTAGATACTTTTTATAATTTTTCAAATTTGAAACATCTCAATCAATATGCTTTAATAAAATACGTTGGACGAATCGTATATACTATGATATGGTATTATACAAAAATTTTCAAGGAAAAAATGTCCGAAACCGAGAATGTCCTTGGAAACATTGTCCGAAATTAAGAATGTCCGAGGTGAAAATGTCCCAAACCAAGAATGTCCACGGTAAACTTTTCCAAAATCGAAAAATCGATTGATCGTTATATAATAAAATGGGAACACCCTGTATCACATTAGTTATCCATGTCAAAAAAACACCCTGTATGGCTGTATATTTTCTATACTATATGACTGTGGATACCTGAAGATATTTATAACTTCTTACCTAATTTGTGATGGACATCATTTAACGGTTATTAGTTATTACGATCAAATTATCGAGACAATTTTGTTACAACGTATATACACGTAGGTAACATAATTAATACATTTTAATTTTTTTTTGAAATATTATTATAGTCAATGTTGTAAATACGCATTTAGTTCTACTATTATGTAGGTACTAGGTATACTGTGTATAATATAATATTTTATTTGTTGGTACATATCCTATTTTTGATTAAAATTAAAAAAGTATGTTAGGAGTACAACAATAATGAAAAAAGTATTGACAGCTTTTTAAAATATTTATCATTGACGTTCATAAATTTTAATTAGGTAATATGTGTTTGTGTAAATTATATGATTTTTTTTTTTGACAATTTTACCATAGACATTTTTGTTTTTGGACATTTTTTCCTCGGAAATTTTTACCTAGATTCATATTATATAGACCCACCTAACAAAATAATTGTTTTTCGATTTCATTGAGAAGGCCAGCAGTTTATAGATCGGTAAATTATCTTACACAAACCAACTGTCTACAAAAAAGTGCCCGATTTGAAGTTTTCTTTTTTCCTGTGGTATTTATAAATATAATAAATTATATTAATAAAAAATTATWTTAATAATAATAAAGAGTACGGTGTTAACGATTCGATTTATGCATATCGTCGATTTGTTCGATTATTTTCCGTCGACTAATGATTGTGTCATTATGTACGTGTTTGGCTGGTAGGGGGTGTCAAAAGTGTATGATGGATTGGTGAGTTCAGTTCTAACCTCCATAAACATAGAAATTACCTGTCATCGTTGTTACCGCCACTAATACTCGTATAATTTACCATCTATGAATGTCGAATAATATTATAGCTACGACTATTGCTCAAAATATAATGACGTGAGTCCATGCCAAGTATCTGAAATAACGAGAATTTTAATAGTCACGCGGTAAACGATGACAGAAAATCGAACTTGACAAAATCCCCGCGCTCTCTATAATATAATAGGTAGTCGTGGAAGCAACCTTGACCGGTTGTGGTAGTTATGGTACTATTGTGAGCTTTTTTTATTATGGTAGGTACGTTGACCTTTTTACGCCGTTATTATAGTATATTATTACACTGATATCGATCGACTCGCCAGCATTTTTACTCGCGATTTCACACCGCATACTAAATTACGGTGGGTCTTGAATTATTATTTCTTGAATAATAAATGAATTTCAAAAGCAAAACACGTAGAGGTTCACAAAACGCCGTTTGTGTTACCATACTTCCATACCCGGTGCGTGCTCGATGAATTCGTGCATGTTACCCCGTTTCCTTTGACGATAAAAGCTTTTCCTTAGTCCAGTGTAGTTATCTGTTGTTTTCGACGTGGCCGCACACTCGTCGGTCGCCAAGTAATGTACTATCATACTGACCGTAACATTATGAACTTCATGTCTGTCTAGTTACGTTGTTATACAAAAATGTTATTTTGATTTCTAAACCATCATTCAGGGTGGATGATTAAAACCAAATCGTCTTTTACAGTTTTTGCTGTATGCCTGTATTTCTTATACAATAATTATATATATAATATATATTATTTATACATATTATGTATATGTGACATGTGTAATATAATACTTATACTTTTTTCAATTAAGGGGGGAATTTATGAACATATTTCTAACGTTTGACAAACATTACTTTTCATAATATTTATTGGCTTTTTCTCAAAATGTTGAGGAGTGTACACTAATTCCATAGAAGTTAAATCATACACATAATAATGTTTATGTTCAGATATTATTTTAATGTGTTACACTGTTATTAATAGTATCTTAAAATTAAATGTTATATAATAAAAATGTTGTTCAACTTTTATTAGGTACTTCTATGAAACAAGTATTTTTTTTATACTCATTTAATTGTAAGTGTTGTTTTTATGTTTTGAAGAGTTAGCACGTTATAATAATCATTAATTAGACATTATGGCTCCGAGTAAAGTCCATTATTTTAATGGGCAATTTGGTATTTATATAAAATATATATTTATCAAATAAATCTTTTAAAGTTGTTACAATATTTTCATTCATAGTCCCAAGGTAATATTAACCTATAGGCTATAACATTCATAAATTGCGCATCGAATAAATGTAATAAGTCATTAATATTCTATTAAAATGTATACTAATAACTAATAAGTAATAAACATACAATTTTAATGTTTCGAATTGTGGTGTGCATTATTATGTTTTTTTAAATCTACGAATATTTGATTAGTTATACCATAAAATTACATCAAATAATTATTATTTTACTTCAGATATTTATGCAAAGTTTTTAAATATGACATTTTTTTTTTATTTAGGTGTTGTACCTGAAGTTCAATGTGCAGTAAAAAGAAAGGAGAAAAAAGCTCAACGAGAAAAAGATAAACCAAATTCTACTACAGATATCTCTCCTGAAGTAATAAAAATAGAACCTACAGAGATGAAGGTAATTACAATCATAATTTCTTCTACAAACTCATTTCATATCTGTATTTAAAATGTTGGTTTTTTTCTTAGATTGAATGYGGTGAACAAATGATAATGGGCACACCTATGCCGACTGTACCTTATGTGAAACCGTTAAGTTCTGAACAAAAAGAGCTGATTCACCGACTTGTCTATTTCCAAGATCAATATGAAGCTCCTAGTGAAAAAGACATGAAACGTTTAACAATAACTAATGTATATACTTGATTAATAAAAAATATATCCACAATCCATATCAATAATATTAATTAATTTTTATAGCAAAAAGTGGATGAATATGATGCAGAAAAACAAAGTGATACCACATACCGAATCATTACAGAGATGACAATACTCACAGTTCAACTTATTGTTGAGTTTGCCAAACGATTACCCGGTTTCGATAAACTTGTAAGAGAAGATCAAATCACTTTACTCAAGGTAATTATTTTACATAATAAATACATTTTTTTCTGTATGATTGTCTTAAAGTCATTTTTTTTTTTTTTTAAATAGGCTTGCTCAAGTGAAGCTATGATGTTCAGGGTAGCTAGGAAATATGACATCACCACTGACTCAATAGTATTTGCTAACAACCAGCCATTTTCAGCGGATTCATATAACAAAGCTGGGTTGGGAGATGCCATTGAAAACCAACTGTCATTCAGTCGGTTTATGTATAATTTGAAGGTGGATAATGCAGAATATGCATTATTGACCGCCATTGTCATATTTTCGAGTAATTATTTATTACTAATTTATGAATTATAACCATGCTATAGTGATATTTTCAGTATAATAAAGTAATTTTTTTTTTCAAATTATTAGGTAGACCAAATTTACTAGATGGTTGGAAAGTGGAGAAAATCCAAGAGATCTACCTAGAGTCCTTAAAAGCTTATGTAGATAATCGAGACCGTGACACTGCAACTGTACGATATGCACGACTTCTCTCAGTACTTACAGAGTTGCGCACATTGGGCAATGAAAACTCTGAGCTATGTATGACACTGAAACTGAAAAACCGAGTAGTACCCCCATTCTTGGCCGAAATATGGGATGTCATGCCATAGTAAATTGCTTCAACTAGTTACCTTGTACCTGGTCACACCATTAGTGTTACTTGGTATTATTTTGAAGACTGTCAATATTTTTTGTTCGTTCAGACCCCTGACAACCACTTGGCAATTATTTGTAGCTCTGAACATCAATTTGCTATTGTTCTTGGATGACTATTTAAGTTACAGTTTACTAATCTTAATGAAATAGACATATTGAAAATTAACTACTATCTAGCATGTCAGGTCATAATAGTTTATGTCTTGTCTTAAATGTGCTTAAAAATAGCTAAATATTTATAGTTTGAAATTGTAGGTAAATTAGGAGTTGTTTTTAAACACAAGGTGTATAGGAAAATGTTAGCACTCTTAGATTTTGTATTAGTATGTTTGAATTCACTCCTAAATTAAGACATAGTACTGTTAATCAGAAATTGTTTTTAACTATGAGGGTGCTATATTGTTTCTCTGTTATCCTAGTGTGGTTTTTGAGACTGTATGTTTTGTACCTGCGTGTTGGATTTTTCTTTTTAAAATTATATGTACATAAATATATATATACTAATATATATTTATAAATGTTTATCAATAAGACAATTAATTTTATTATAACAAATTTATATAAATATATATATTTTTTTTTTATATGAAATGTAAGAAACATCATTTCTATTCGCGAAACTGTGATATTAGTTTATAATAAATTGTATATTATGATAAAAAATATACTGTGTATACTAACATCTATTAGTTAATAATCATAGGGCGTTTGATGTAAACGTGTACAAACATAGGTTCAGGGCTTTAGGTAAATGTGGCACTCTTTTATGTACATAATTAAAATATTATTTTTTTTTTATTACTTATTATTGTTATGCTTTCAAAACCTAAATGAGCAATTCTGTTAATGGAAAGTATTTTATAGCAAGTGTATTTAATTACAAAATATTAGAAACAGTTTTAATTAGATGAAATTCTATATATTTTAAGTACAAAAACAAAATTACAAATAGAAAATTAAAATAGCTATTATTAATGTGTGTTTGTGTGTGTATTGAGATGAAGACTGTAAACATCAATGTTTAGATATTTATATTATTTTATTATTATTAATATTTTAGACCAATTGTCTTCTAATTGCTTTACTGATTTCTATCTTAATGATCAATAACTTTTAGGCCGGTTATCGTTTTCCTTTTTAATTTATTATTTTTGTTTTCATTTAATATTAATTCAAAACATTTTTGGTTTGGTTCAATAGCTTTGATGATAGCTTTTAAAATTACGATTTCTGTATGATACATACTTATAAATTTTCCTTTAAGCTGGTTATATATTTTATTCTTTTCTGTTGTTTTTGTTATTGTCATTAAAACTAAATTTATGTATCCTACCAGTGCAATAGTTATCAAGTTTATTAAATGTTGTCCATAGTTTTGTTTTCCYGGAAAAGGAATTATTTGGTGGTATATAATTTTATATAAATTAATTAAATACCAATTTTTCTTGGGTCATAAGTGTAATTGTTTGTTTTCAAGTAGATGAATAATTATAATATTTATAAATTAGGGTGTACATGGTGTTATTTTTTAATATTATTACTACCTACTAGATATCAGCTATTTATATTCAAGTGAAAATGTGAGTTTAAGATAAGACTTTGTTTTTTTAAATAATTGGTTTACTCATATTAATGTAAAACATACTTTGAACAACTTAATTTAATTAAGTTTTGTTTTTTCCCATCTTTAAGTTTGTCTGTATCATTTTTTTTTTGTTTGTTTAAAATAACATTCAAGTACACTCTAAGATATTATCTACTTGTTGAAGATACCCACTGTTATATTTCCTTAATATTGTAATTTATTTTAACAATACAAAAAAAAATTATATTATTGACAGAAATAGTTAAATATGTTAAAAAAGCTCTTTACCAACTGATTCAATTTGGAAATTCCTACCTGATATTATAATATTTTTAAGAGATAAATAGTTTATATAATTTGTAGATGAAATGATGTTTTTTACATTCTATTTATCTGAGTTGATATCTTTAGTAAAAACAATTTCACTCGTAACCGCAGAAAAACCGCTACTTGTCAGTTTTAATACAATAAATTATATATTTATAATGTTATGTACATTTTTATGATTATGTTTGTGCAAATGTTAATTCTTAGGAAATTGAGTGTAATTTTAATATTTTTTTTGTAAAAATTTTTTTTTTTTTAAATACCATTGAAAAATGATCTTGTTCTTTTTTATAAATATAAGAATGTGAATTGTCATAAAAATATTATTTTGACCATAGAAAATATAAGAATCCAATGTTAAAAATTATGTGTTACATATAACAGCCTCACGTTTGGTTCTAAATTTTTTTCATTAATCAATGAACTCAAATATTGTATTCCACCAGAAGATGTTTATTCTATACAAGTTTAAAATGTGGCCTTAATATGTAGCTAGTACCGAAAGGTCAAACATTAAACTCTTATGTTTAAGAGATTTGTGGCCACCGTTGTGAATTGCATTTTGCACCGCTGACACTGTTCATGTTTAAAATGTAACTCATATGACTTTACGTGTATTTGTAATTATTGGAGTGTACCATTTAATTTTATCACATCTATATAAAAATAAATATAAAATATCTAAACGAGTTAATTTTAACTTAGACGTTTTATCACGCATAGGATTTCTAAATTCACTGCCCTTCGAAACGATTATGCCGTATTTCAGCGCACTTGTGCAGATAAATCTCACATGTCACTGCCATTTTATTCTTTTTATACTTAAAAAAAAATGTATTTAAAAAAATTAGTTTTTATTACAAAGTTTGATATTGTCTCAAGTAACACGTTAATACTCTCTCAACTGTGTATCATTGTATGTAACCCGTGCAGTTTTTTTAGAGGCTATTATTTTGGATAAAAAAAAAGAAAAGTTCTACAAATATTAACGATATTTAGACATTTTTTGTACTTTTTGTTTTTATATTATATTTTTTACATGTATAGGTATAAATACGACAAGTACATTTTTTAGATGCGCTTTTTTTTTTTACGAAATTTTGATATTAGCTACAATTCGGTTTTATAGAAATAAAATAATGCTATATACTACTACTACTACTACTACTACTACTACTACTACTACTACTACTGCTACTGCTACTATTGATAATAATAATAATAATATTATTAATAACTATGGAAGGCGAAATAAAAAATTTGTACTTTTGTAGATCACAATTATAATATAACTACTTACTTTTGAGTGTATATTCTAGTGTGACACATTGCATAATTTTGTGTAGACAGTTTAGAGTGTTTAGACGATAATCGTATATAATATTATTATTGTAATATATTTATAGTTACAGTCGTTWATATTTACCGAGTATGATGTACGGTTGCAGCAAGCTGTTGTGACTGATAATAAATACCCAAAACATGTAAAAGTCTTAAATATATTAATTGTAACTAACGATAGAACTATTGTTGTTAGATGCACAGTAAATTACAACAATAATGGTTTTTTTTTTTAAATTTTCCATTTTATAATTTTTTTTTTCAAATGGGTGCGCATGAAATCCTCAATGAGACTGACGCGATGAGAATAATAAAATTATGTTAAAGGTGGCTGAAAATATGTTAAAATGTATTATCATATTCGTTGTTGCGATGAATTAAAAACCGATGTCCATCGATTGTTTGCAGGAAAAAAAATGTTTAATATTATATTTTTTTTTTTTTTCATTTACCTATTCAATTACTATGTTCTATGATGAAATACTGTTTTTTCTACATATATCCACGTTGTTGTGTCTAGACGTTTATACTAGATAAATTATTTTGATATGTAATCAAAGACGAGAAAACTTATTGGTACGCGCGTGCAAAAAAAATATATACTCATACAGAACAATTTGGAGTATTATACTATACGGGAGAACAATGTGCTACGAAAACTAATAATTAACATTATCTATATTCTATTTATATATATATGTATTATGTTATAGTATTAGTGTGCTAGTACGGGATGAAGAGCTGTTGTTAAAATGTACGTGGAACGAACTTTAAACACATTTTGTAAAAAAATAAACATATGATAAAAAAATAAAAATAAAGGACTATATGATAAATATTAATCGTTATTGTTTTGATATTATTATTCCATTGCCGATTCGTCGTTACAGTTTTTTAGTGTATGCCGGTGCCAAAATATTTGCAGCCTGCAGGCCAATTTCTAATGATTACTAGCAATCGGCTTATATTTATACAGCTATAATATAATGTGCATTGCAGTTGATCAGTATATATATATACCAATATACCTAGTGGCTGATAAAATTTAAAATATAAACAACTTGGAATGCAATTTTTAGACAGTATTTTTCTTGACATTTTGCCGTGAAAGTATCATTTTTTTGTGATTTATTAATACGATTTATAATAACTATGAATTTAAGTGCATGACCCGGCCGTGATTGTATTTTGCACAAACGACAAATTATTGTGCTATGTAAAAATTGTATCTTTATTATGAAAATATGATTTGTTCTTTGTATAGGTAACTATCACTTAAACAGTGTCATATAGTCATATATTTTTTTGTCGGAGGGACACTTCATTTTTCTCTCTCGTTTTTCTTACGCTGGAATGTCTTTTTATTACCTTTTAATTTATGATCCCCATGTTTAGAATCTTTTACAAACATACAATTACATTATTTTTCTTAACTGCGTAATTCTGTAAGCAACGGTACACATTRTTATAAACATGACAATTGATTTTTTCATTCAAGTAATATTACTATATTAGGTAAGTACCAACTGATAAAATCTCAATATATAACTTTTAGCTAATAGCATATATAATATAATAAAACAAGACATGGCTATTTGGACATATTATGGTAGTGGAATACCGAATAGGTAGCTAAAATTTAAGGATTCTCTGTGTGCCTACTGCCTATATCATTACAATTTGCTTTCAAGAATAGTGTGTTAAAAACAGCTTGAAGATGAAGCACAGAAACAAGTGATTTATCATAGATTTACCTTGCATTATGTTGATATGAATAAAAAGAATTTATGTATGTAGGATGAGGTTGTGGGGCACGTCAACCAGCTGCCCTGACTACAGATTACAGTTTTATAAAATAATACTATTGTTGTCAATTTTCTCGTTATATAGTTGGCCAATTGTCAGCAATAATGTATTTGAAGAGCAATAAAAATACTAAATTCTATTTCAATCTTAGATCTAGTATTTTAATACACATATTGGCGCTTTGGTTTTAATTTTAACGGGTCAGAGAGTTTTACAAAAAATAAACGTAAACAAAAATCACTGCTCCTCCAAATGTCGGATTTCAAAAGAGGACTGAGGTCATGAGAGTAGATAGTTTGTGCCTTAACCCTTGAGTCTATATGCCTACACTTCTCTCGAACGAAAACCGAGAAAATATTATACTGAACAATTTTAGGGGGCTATATTTTGGTAGTTTGCTACATTATCGATATCTTCATAGATACCTAATGTTTAAAAATTATATAAGCGTCTAATACGAAAATCAAATCTCTCAAGTCGAACATTAAAATATATTTTTACCGTCGCGTGCGATACGATTTTCTATAAATTCCTTTTTCAGCTTAGGCATTTAAAATTTCGAATTTTTTACAATCTGTTGTAGGCATGTAATACTATTATATGACACTTGAACTACGCGAACCTATCGGTAGGAATGCGCAATACGACCGAGAAATTAACGGTTTGTCACATAAATTCGGTGTAGATAAGTGATATTCAACAAAAATGTGTACACATTATATTATAATGCATAATAGTTATCACGTTTAGATACGTGTGCATTTTTACAAGTTGTATTTATCTCATATATTTTTAGAAATTGTTACGAGCTTGGATAAAGTTATGTATCGGTTGCGCAATATAGTTATTAACTTTAGGAAGACGATAATATTGTAGGAAGCATTCCATTAAATAACCTTGGAATAATATTAAAATTGTCTGAAATTTAATTCGGATGAGTACAGCCAAAGTCAGTTCCTATCCAATCGTTGTATTATGTTAGTGCTATGTATTATATGTCATACATGATACATCCATACTCGCCCAGTGGTCACTGATTCAGTTTCATTATTAAAAATGTTATTCATTTTTATCAATATAATAATCTGAAAATTAAAGATTACGAAGGAGTTTGCACTACTTTTATTTTAATTTTGATAAAAGAAATTATGAGTACCAAACCTTGTATTACATTTTTTAAATGTAAGCATTTCTACCGATCAAAAAATTTAGTGTTGACGTAAAATAATAAAATTTATTCTTACCGAATGGCTTCTAAATTCATAGTATTGAACATTTAAACAACATATTATTGCTATTTAATTTAATATTTTCAAATAATAGATTTATCCATTTCGAAGTCATCCCCAGGTAAATAGAAAACTAGACAGCCAAATGTGACTGTACGTGATTCGTGCAGTATTAGGTAAATGCTGTAATAATATTGTAATTCTGATTTTTTTTATAAAACCCACAAGAAAAAGGAATACAAGTACTTATTTAATGTCTTAATTTAATTTAATGTTTTGGTAAAAAAATAATTAAAAATTACATTGTAGCTATTAGCCCCTCCAAAAAAAAATCAAATAATTGTATAATATATCATAAAGCATCTTCTTTTAGTGCSATAAATATATGTAGGTACGCATGACAGGAAAACAAATTAATAATGAATATTCACATTACAAATAGATATTATACTTTAATGCATGCTTGTGTTAATGCTCTGTAGTATGCTAGTATAGCTATAGGACGATTCCGGTTTTTTTTTTCGTACTATTTCTATAGGATAAAGACTATTAATTAAGTATATCATAAAGGGGAAACCTGGGTAAGACGGGACAATCGGTAAAATGGGACATCTAATTTCGTAATAGAGAGTAATTAATAGGTTTTAAATCAAACCAACCATTATCAGTTAACTTAATGTTATTTAGGTAATATAGAGTTTTTCGTTGTAACGTGTTTCGTTTTAAAGAGTTTTCACTATATATGTTTAATTGTAACGCACACGCCCTTATACAATTATATAGGTATCCTAGTTGTATTAAATTTTACAATATATTGCCTTATTATTATTAATTATACTTATTTGGCGGCAGTTCCTTATCATTATGCTTTTAAAAACCTAACCTTCCTAACCTGTGAGGAA